TTTGCATAAAGTTAAGCGATGATCAATTATCTGATATCGTGATTAATCACCTATATTATTTGGCAGATAGGGACTGTGAGAATCATGGATGAACCCAACCATCCTTAGGACAGCGGTGCGAAATTGCTAATAGAGCGAGTTTATTATGCCGATTAATAAGTGATGAACAGGAATATCATGTTCAGTCATACATGAATTTCAAAATGCTGAATTTTTATCCGATACATCGTTTGGTCGTGATTTGCTGGTGCTGTTCAGCTCTGTTCTTCTGCAATTAATTATTTTACCGAAATTTTCAAGTCTTTGCAATACTTTTGTAACCTCTCACGATCAACTAAACATTCTTAACAAGATTTGACTAATAACGAATCATCAGAATAAATCAAAAATTAATTTTCTCAACTCACATTTGCTTCACACACAAATTACTAACAATTAACCTGCATCATTTAATCACTTGATTTACATACGTAAACAAGTTATCGTGAGAATTAGCACTATACACTTCATAAAATCATTTTATATTCGTTTATTTTCGCAGTCCGGTTGTTTCATTGTGGGTATGCGATTTTGTTTCATTTACGCATCAACTTCATTGATTCATTCATATTGCTGAATATAAATAATGAGCAGACCGTGTTCTAGGTGCCTTTCGATGAAGCATTTACATTTGATCAGACCCATCATCGTCTCATAAAATGATGAGACAAACATAGTGTGTGCACTTTCTAGCAAACAATCGCGGCTTGAGAGATCGATCTCATTGTTTGAGATTTCACTGAACATTTTCATTGATGAGTATGAATATTATCGCACTTAATCGAACTGTAATATTCCAATCGAAAATCAAGTATGTTCATATTAAAATGAACTGGTTCTAGGTTAAGCGCTGCATTCAACGAGACAGACGTTTAAGTTGATCGCATTGTTCGATATTGCAAATGAGAAGTCAAATTCAAATATACACTTCAAATGGTAGACAAAGTAGATTTGATGTTAGTAAGGATCGAGTTAATTCGGACGAAGATAAAGAAAAGATTAAAGAAAATACGGATACGGCAGAAACACGGTTCGTTTAAGATGACTGCTTTCGTTCGGCGATTTTTCGACCGAGCTTATTAATAAACTCCACAACTCTTGAGAGAATCAAAAAACGATGAAAATGGTTGTTTCTGGCGTTTTGGATGGAAAACCAAACGACGCAGCAGCACACTCGGAACTAGTGGAATGCATTCGCTCCGTATTATAATCGTTAACAGTGAAACACTTAAAGTGAATGAGCCAATAATTGTAGCACTGCAAGTGAGAGGCCTGGTAGGTTGGGATTCTCGGGTAATATTCCGCCAAAATTCATCACTGAAATCACGAAAGAATTCGTTTTCAAACAGAACAATCGGGTAAGTTTTGCGCCAGATGATTCATTCACTCTTGGCTTTCAGTATCTTCCAAATGACCGCTGATCACCGATCTCTTCAACGTTTCCAGAATGAAAACGAAACCTATTGAATGAATACAAGTTTGGAACTATAGTGAAAGATGTTATCAAGTCGAAACAATAATGCTTGATCCAGAAACAGAAATGATTATGAAACATAACTGGCATGTTCCAATAAGTCAAGTCACTGCCTAGACATTAAAAGCAAAACATTAAAAGTGTTCTAATCCTTTGCTCAGATTGGTTTATCGTTGAGTCGTTCGATGATAGTGACAAAAATAGAAGAATGTTCAGTGTTCGCTGATAAATTGAAGTTATTCGATTTTATTCATTCGATTAACGAGAAACCGGTCGAGGGTAAAACCGCGTTCGGGAAGTTGGTTAGAAAAGCGAAACGATCCAACGAAATGGTATCTTCTTCATGATTCTTAAACTCAAAATTCAAAACTATTCGACCGCTACGTCCTAATTTTTGAGGAGAAATATTCGTATATATGATTGATCAGACAGAAGTATCAGTAGATATAATTTTGGATTTTCTCATCATTATTACAAAAAACTTTTTGAAATCGTTTGCTTAAAAAAACGTCAATTCTAGTTCAAATTGAACATTCGTCGATTAAACTGGAATCTACCAACTGAAGTACTGCCAGAAGGATATGATAATGTACCCGGTTATGCTTATTTTCTCGCTCTGTTGGTTACAATTCCCGGTACTGATATTGGAATGAGTATAAGATCGTTCAACAGTAAAGTTTGTTTTTTTTTTTCAAAATTAATAGCCATTTCAGAATGTTTTCATTTTTGAATAATCAATCGACTTCTTTAAGTAATTAATCGACCTCTTTAACTCTTTGTGAGAGCTGAAGAATTATTTATTATGTGGGATGTTTCAGGCTTCAGTTACACACTCTATTTCAGCATTTGACCATCATGTTCCAAATTATTCGTAAATGGTAATATTTTAGGTTTACGTCACAAATATCGAGCAACAAAGTATGTCATCGAGATCATGTCTCGTCGGCGATTGTATTGTCGCTGTCAACCAAACGCCTGTCACAACTGTCGCAACTTGCCGAAATAAAATGATTACCAGTTTAACTGCTAAGGCTTATGTTCGTATCATAACTCTTACTCGGACTACAACCACGGGGTAAAATTGACCATTTTGATGAACGTTGACTGCTATGCCCTTGGATAGATCAGTGGTTCTCATAGGAGTGAAGTTACCCATTTTGGGTAATTTAGAGGTATCAAGAGGTAATGGTGAGGGTCGGGAAACTAGTATTTCATGCAGTTTCATGTTATGATAGAACGCCAACCTATTTTCTGAGTATCACTAGCTCGTCCGAGCCTAACAGGGTTTTCATTCGTTTTAACAGGGTTTTCATTCTTTTCCTTGCTGTTACGATCGCTCTCATAGCTTTTATCACCAAAAGTGTTCTCTTTGGCTAATTTCTCATTCATTTCATTCAACAATTGAAGTCAAATTCTCATTCTATCAAATACACTCTGTAAATGATTATTTGACTGTCGAACGTTGATGAACAATAATATTCGTTTGCTGCATTGTTGATTTCGGCTGTCAACACTCGTCAACGTATCTAGCAAATAGTTTACGCCACAGAATGAGAAGTTGATTTGAACTGTGAAGTGAGACGAAACGAAGTGAATGAGAAAAACCCATCAAGAGAACGATATTCGCATGTAATAGCTATGAGAGTGAATACAACACGTCTGAAAAGAATGAGAATTCATCTAAATCAGTCGGTTTCAACTGAGCGTGTCATAGACAATAGCTTTTCGTGCAATCACAATCGATCGCAATAATGAGGAACACACTGGTCACAGAGAAGACCTAACCGTGTCCAATAACATCATGGTATTCTTGTATCAGAGGGGGAGGGTAACGATGGCCTGCCAGATCATCAAAACGGGCAGTGGAACATCCGAACGTGAGGGCCACTGGTATAAATTATTCATTGCAATTTTTTTGAAGTTGGTGTTAACACTGGAAAGGCCAGTCGATAAACAAGCTGTACGTGTCGTTAAATTCGCTCTTACCGTGGAGAAAGCACCTCATTTGAATCCAAGGTATTACCTGTTATGCAATTCTGTGCTCTTTAACGATAGTGATACAGAAAATTGAAATTGGGATGTCGTTTTTGTGAACTTTACCCTGCTGAATTCAGTGATGCATTTCGAAAATTGAACAGGTAAAATTCGCTGGGTAAAAAGGGACTGCAAAAAAGAATCATTATTAATTGATCAACTTCAAATTTTGAAAGTATCTCAACCATATCGCATTAGCTTATTGTGTATTATCGAACGATTTATGTACTCCTGATGATTCGTACAATGCATTATTTATTTATGAATCATGTACTTTGTTAAATCAATCATTGAAATATGAATGTCTTGCTCAGTTGAAAGTTTATTGATGAATGAAGATGCAAAGGAACAAATCGAATTCAATTGCACATTTTGATAAAGCAATAATGAGCTGATCAGTTGCTCAACTTCATTGCAGAATGGCAATCGATACAACAAAAATTGGCCTTGATGAAGCCAATAAAATCAAGACGTCAACAGTGGCTGTACCAACACGAAGCATTTATCGAAGCAAAATACGGAAATTAGGAGCACCGTAAGATTTTTTGATTTCTACCCATAAACAAGGCCATTCATAATTATAATTGAAATTATTTTGGCATTGTTGAAAGTTGAACGATTTCAACTGTCCAGCCAGCAATTTGTCGCCCGATTCTATACAATCCAGTGCATTTATTGAAAACGATTGATAAAAAGCAAAGATGGATTATTTCATATGAATCCAATATTTAGTTGTTCGTTTTTTTTTTTGATAAAGAAATTGACTTAACACTCAAATTATAATAAGTTACAAAATAATCCCACAATACACCCGAAAGGCTTACGAGCTGTTTTCATATGAACTCAACTCGACACGATAATATTAAGCTCGATCGAATTTCCAGACCAACGCCCCGTGAGCAGATCAAAAACGTGCTCGTGAGCATAAACGCTGAATCGCAATTCACCACCATAATGGCCGATCCGTACAATCCACTTCTAATGGAAGCCGTTCCACCGAAGCGCATGGATACCTTCTACGCCCAAGTGAAGTCCACGCCATCGTCTCCATCACATTCAACGTCAACCACCGACTCAAAACAATCACTACATTCCGCATCATCACACAAACCTCCAAGTCAACGACATTCTGCATCCGTTCCAAGTAAAAAATCCTCTCGACTCATGCCACCATCTCATCGATCAGTACGATAACAAACTTAATTTTTCTATTTTCTCCATCCAACAAGCGATTTCAACGGCTACGCCAAATACCGCCGGCTATGCTGTCATCGAACATATCACAAACATTACTCTCTTCATTCCCTTCATTCACACTCAAAATCGCTTCATTGCTCGTAATCTCTTAGCATCACCACCATCTGTTCATATGTTCATGTATGTGAATTATGATGCAAACAATTTTGCTAGGTAATTGCGAATTTTATTCATCGAATCAACCAAATATTAAATAAATCTTGCAAAAGACAATGAAATTTAAAAAATAACACATTCCAAACTATCACTAATGAACACTATCTGCGATACTCGTGCTCATTGCGCGAACCGTGAACATAAGACAAACGTATTCAGATGAGAACAAGCTATGAATGTGAGAAAGAATCTTTATGAAATGAGGCAAAACAAGATAAATGTTAATAAAGCGAGTGAAAATAACATTCACAGGACAAACTCATTGGCATGATTCAATCATTTCAAACCATCGCAGTATCAGACGCACTGAATCGTCGTATTGACCCTAACCCTCATCATGCAATTCGTAATTAAGATATGTAAGCTCATAGATTAAGATGAGATCACACAAATGAAGATGTTATAATGTGAGGTGATTGAAGAACAGAAGATCCGAAAACTATTCGATCGCACCAAATTGATCAGACGTAAAAAGTCAGTGACGACATCAAATCGACTGGTGTATACGAACAATAGTACTGCGAAGAACCTGCAAGAAAATTCAGTTGTTTTTGCTTGAAACGTTTTGCTTAAAATGTTTTTGCAAAACTTTCCCTCTCCTCCTTCCACTCCATTCCCCTCGTTTCCCAAATATACCTCACAATCAGCACACAAGTAATCATCTGCTGCATTTTGTTTGATTCGCATAAAATCATATTTTGCCTCCACGTAAGCATAATCTTCCGCTCAACTAAACTCTAAACTGATCACTCAACTCACCAAATATGGAATTGATCACATACGATTCCAATTCAATGCCCGACCTCAGTGCATTTTTTAACTTGCAATAATTACACCCAACTTCTTGACTTTCGTCAATCTGCTGCCGGTGCTTCAAGATGGTGCTTTCATTTACACCGAGCACGTTTGCCATACGCTTTAAAACTGAACCTGTATTCGACTCCATCAGCTCGCTGAGTTTGATGTTGTTCACTTATGATGAGCTGATCTACCCTGATCTAACGTCAGTTCATCTTTAAGGTTCATTCCTTGGACCAAGCCGCAACAGTTGATTTTGAAGTGGTCCCTTCATCAATCGCTCTGCTAACACTAGCCATCATCTGTCTGTTTGAATGACCAAGTTCAATCTCACATAATCTAACTGAACGAATTGCTTCTTTGTCCACAGCCGCATTAACTGCTCTTTAAAAGTTTTCAAAATAAATGAGTGTACGCAAAATCTGCCCATCATTCGCAAGCACCGAAGATTAACAACGAAACGATCACAGCAATAATCAGCACAACAACTCAAAATGCAACATGCCGTTGCTTGAAATCATTCCGCTTAATGTTTGATTGCCCTATAGGTTCGGCACACACCCAATAAAATTATTCGCTTTCATCTTGTCGTCGATTTTTCAGTATTGATATTCGACTTCAGACTTCCAATTGAAATCAAATGTCAAATTCAATTCAGTCCAGAGGGGTGTTGAAGCGATCAAAATATTATTATTATTGTTAATATTTATAACAGTGAACATCAATGAAAATGAAGCCAATCCATAACGGTCGCTGCGTGCTCTCAATCAGTTATTACGACAATAGTGAAGATGGTGATGATGGCCATGATGCAAAATACAACTTTATAAACAATTCAACATCCGATAAGCTGATTCGTTTTCGTTTCACAACGACTATTTTCATCGCACAAAGAAGTACAATCGAACAAATTACCACACCATATAAAACCACATCAGACAACAATTTCAAAACAAACAATTACTGATTCATTATAACATTCAAAACGTAAACAGATAAGAAATATGAATTAAAAAACAAATTTATGCTTTGGAGCGTTGAAATGTATAATTGAATGAACAAATTAGCCATATAATTATGATGATGACCATAGCGATAACTCAATATGAGATGCTGTGTGATATCAGTTCGATAAGAACAATTTTTGGGAGACGATAAAGAATGATGTGTGATCAACATTTGAATAGAATCAATAATCATAGTCAGCCTGGGAGAGGCGAGTTTGCGCAAGTAAACTCTTTCGGATGATTGCATAAACTTTACCGGCATACGACAACATAAAACGCACTTTTTGACCAATTAAACTCGATTCTAGCGCTTCTCGAGAGCAACTAAAGTCAATCTGTGGAAATCAAGTCGAAGAAGCAATTCTCTGGGCAGAGAGTTGTAGCGATTAACAATAGCGACGATATAATAAGCAGCAAATTAAATGAAACTCAAAAATCAGCTGAACGTTTGACTAAATGAATTTGAAGAAAAGAAAAATGAGAAATCAAATAATAATGTTAAAAATAAAAATAATATTAATAGTAAATGATAAACGGTAATGAAAACGAACTATTTTATGGTGCCTTAAAGCGCTCTTTAAGCGTTCTTCATAGAGCATGACCACTTCGAGAATACATTTTTCGAATAACGATTTAAAAAAAAAGAATAATGCAACCAACATAAAAGGAATGCAAAATCACAGAAACTGCAGCGAATAAGACTTACATTTTTGTCANAAAAAATTACACATCAAACAAGCAAAAAACAAACGAGATACTACTCAAAGCGATAGAATACACCAAAAATCAACCAAACAAACAAAAAACATCATCAACTTTCGGAGTCCACAATTAATGTCACTAATGATTAGGTTAGTATAATAACAGACGGGACGAATATAGCGAAGCTTCTTGGGTACCGCTGAAGCCAAACTCATTTCAGTTTAGTGTTGATTGGAATCTTTTAGTAATTCTACATCCGCGGGTACAGTTTCTACGTTTATCATATGAAACTACCGACTCCGTTCCGTTATCCCCAAAGACGATCGAATTTCCAACAAAGAAAGGAAAAACCAGTGCTAATCAGTTCACCTTCTCATTTGTTTCACTCCAAAACAAAATTAACAATGTTGTCGCGCAGTAAATTGGTGTTGCAAGTACCAATAGAGAAAGATTCACCACTTTTATGTAGGTTTTATTAAACGACTGTTCCGTTTTAATTTCTACATATTCGATCGTCGTGCGTGCGGACATTGGAACGGTTCTCGGGCAGAACAACTGATAAATTTGATGAGATGAAGAAATAACTCTAAATTTAGCTCCTCACACCACAAACTCCTAAATGCGGATCATAATAAATTTGAAAAACGTTTTTCGAGTGTTCTCACTGAGCTTACCAAGCCTATCATCACATCAGTTTGATTCGGTATCAGAACATCGAAAGAAATCAAAAAGTGGCACGAAAGCTACTCTGATAATGATGATTCGTTTGTTGCACTCTAACACTAAGCTAGCTATAAAATATGAAATGAAGATGACATTTACAATCAAATACATGCAGAAATAAATCAGACAAATTACAGTACTAGCAATTGTGAATGACCACTGTAACAGAATTATAGCCATTCAATCGCTGAATGAATGAATAAATACGAATATCACAAAATGAAGCTAACAATAAGCGTTTTCAATAATTGTTTCATAGCGAACACCAACGAAATTAACCACAAAAATACACTCGAAAATAATATCAATGCAATGAGAATATAACAATCGTGATTCGATTATCATACTGTAACGATTCAAATAATATCTGTTCAATGATAATAATAACGTAACGATACTGATCATAATAATATAATAATGGAACTGAGTAAAATAATTCGAACGTCCAGTTTTTATTGATGATAATATTCACAACCAACAATGATGATTGGGAAAAAAATGAAGATGAATTCAAAACAAAGATTTTTGAGTAGAAACAAGAAAACACATAAAAGATGGCCATTAATAGCGAGAAAATGCTGTTAC